GAAAAGGGAAGCCCTGGCCCCCACCTTCCCATGGTGAGAAGGGAGAGGGAAACTGTGGCAGGGAGCGGGTGGGGCGACTTCCCCATCTCAGTGCAAGGGGGTTGTGTGGTGGTACAGCAGCACTTCCCCTGGCCGTGGGGCTGCCCTGCTGGGGACATCCAACCACTCTGGCCTCAGGTCCCTTCCTGCAGGGCAAGGCAGGTTTTGGAGCCCCCACTTGGGACCTGGGAGCAGAGACCATCCAGGGGAGCCAAAGAAAGTATAAAATCCCTCTGGGAAAGCATCCTAGTGCGATGCCGTCTGCCCCATGCTCTCCCCACAGGTGTGCCCACCCATGGGGGATGGACCCCCCACCCAGGGCCCCCTGTGTGCTATGGGTTGGGAGGGCTCCGACATCAAGACAGGAGAAGCTGCCATATCTGTGTGTCTGCAGGCTCAGCGGCAGAGCTGGAGATGCCACCGGGGCTAGGGGATGCTGCAGGGCCACAGGGGTGGCCGTGGTGGGGGAGGCAGCCAGGGCAGCACCCTGACCCCCTCCCGAGCCAGCTGAGCATGAAGAGGCCAAACCCATGTCTCCCTGCCCACTGGCACAGGATGTGAAGCCGGGTAGCAGCGGTGGGAGGCTCTGGCACGCCATGAACTTCCCGGCAGAGCTCATGGAGGGTATCCAGGCACGGGGAGTGGAGCAGAACCTTGTCTGCATCTACCATTGCACGGAGCCCCTGAGCATCCTTGGCCAGTAGCACGCCCACCTCATCACCCACTTCCCACTGAAATGCTCGGGGGGATGGGCTGTCCTGGGGACCCAGGACTCTCCCCGCCCCCCCGACTCTTGCAGGATGGCCGCAACAGCTCTGTGCTGAACAACCACGTACTGGGAGCCTTCCTGCAGCACGGGCATGTGGCCGGGCTCAGCCGCCCTGTGGAGATCCAGTTCGGGCATGACACCATGCTGGTGAGCAGGACTCCACCGCTGGCATGAGCCAGGGGGTCCCCAGCACCAGCATTTCCCCTGGAGTTAGGGAAAAAGAAAGCATCCCCTCTTTGTGTTGGGACCAGAAGGTTTCTGGGGTCCCCAGGGAGCAGAGAGGGTCCCCAGCTGTCCCTCTCTGCCCCCTTTCCACCAGGATGCCTCCAACACCATCTGTGTCTTCTGGCAGCCTGGAGCCAGTAAGTGTGGCTGTGGCCAGGATGGGGGCAATGCCAGCTTGGTGTCACCCCGAAGGCATCGCCTTTCCACTGCCTGGGCAGCCCTGGCAGGGCTTGACATCCCCTCGATGTCCCCGTCCCTGGCTGCTGAGCCACCCTCTGACAA